TTCTCCCCTATATTTTTTATCTGATAAGAGAATTATAATTTAAGAATGTGGTATTTCAACTCACATATGTAATTCTCAGTAGAATGCTCTATGAAAAGTAAATATTGGCTGGAGTTTCCAACAGGCTGAGCTTTTTGGGATGAAGATGAGAACGAATGAGTTCTCAACTCTGGAGGTACAGAATACAATATCTATATATCTATATATATCTATATATATCTATATATATCTATATATATCTATATATATCTCTATCTGTAGAGAGAGAAAGAGAGAGAGAGAGAGAGAGAGAGAGATTTCAGAAAGGAAGGGAGAGGGAGAGAGAGAAACATCAATGATGAGAGAGAATCATTGATTGGCTGCCTCCCACATGCCTCTCACCGGGGATCTGCAACCCTGGCATGTGCCTTCAACTGGAATCAAACCTGGGACCTTTCAGTCTGTAGACCAACACTCTATTCACTGAGCCAAACCAGCTAGGGCTAAGTGTATGATACTTCTTTAAGTATTTCTTGATGATAAAAGTTAGAGTCTTTGGTTTTAAAGTCTCGAAACAAACAATTGTGAACAAAATTGAAACATCGGTATGCCCAGAACTGAAAGCTCTGCTTAACGTGTCAAGTAAAGAATATGATACAGGCTCATTCTGATAGGCACTATCACATTTTATTCACACAACACCACATGTTCACGCTGACTTATCTAAAATCCATGCACTTGAGCACTTTGGCCAGCTCTCCCTGCAGAGACACATGCTTCATTCATAGACTAAGTGTTCCATATGCATCTCTCGGGAGCCCAATGCAAGAACTAGCTGAACTGTCTCCAGTGAAATGAAAGCTCTGTCATTCTGTATGATTATTGGTCCTATTTTGGCTAAGCTTAGACACTTTATTTTGTTGCTGGATGAAAACCCTAAGAAAGCTATTGAGTGACAGCTATGGTATCAGTAGACCACTTGACATCTTTAATTTGTCCAAATTATGCTCTAGTCTTGAATTTTAAATGTTGATTTCCTGTGAAGTGGTTTTTTTTAATTTCCCTAGTTTAATTCACTCTGACAAACGATAAGCTTAAATTAATGGAGAAAGGGAAAATTATCAGAAAGCTTATGTGTCCTTTGTAATATCACCAGGGCTGGTCAAATATAGCAAAACAAATGTCTGTCTTTACGACCGGATGTCTCAAGGACTGAAAAGCTTTCCAAATATCCCCCGCAGAACAAAAAGGCTGCCCAAACTTTTCACCATTGTCTGTGTGTTTAGCAATGAATTTAGAGTCAGAAGACTTGGGGTTTGAGTAATGGTAATGGTGCTTGCTCATTGTGTGGCTGATAAATTACATAATCATAGTTATTCTTAAAACTCATCTTTTTAAAACTCCTTTCACCACCTGAAGAATGTGGACAATGATACCTGCATGACTACTTCACAGAACTTTTGTGAGGAGCAAATTATAAAGTAAAGGGAAAAAATGCATTGCAAACTATAAACTATAAGCAAAGGTAAATTATTCTCACTATCACCAGTCATTTATCTTTATTATTGACAGCATAAATTTATGTAGTGTTAGCTATTTATATCTTTATGTGAATTTGAGGGATCTAAAAGTACATTTCAAAGGGATAAGCTCCAGGGTTGTGAAGCAAGTTGGTGGAAAAGAGTATGTTAAATGTGAGCGGATTGGGGGGATAAGAGAACATTGGGGGGATAAGGACACATTTGTAATATTTTAATCAATAAAGGGAAAAATTTTTTAAAAAGATCCTGAAAGAACAGTCTGAAATTCTGAAGATAAATTTGCCTACTTCTTAATAAAGCTAAGATTCAGTTTTGATAAGAATAACTTGGCATATCCCTCCTTGGTCTCTAAGGATAACTGTTCCTAAAAGGCTGACCTTGACTTCCAGGACTCATAGAATTAGGCTAGTTGCTCTCAACTTTACCTGTGAGTTTGAATCACCTAGAAAGTGGGTATTAATATCTAAGACCAACCTCCAGATATTCTATTAAATTGGTTTGTATTGAGCCAAGTCATTAAAATATTTAAAAGGCAAACCAAACCAAACTAAACAAACCACCAACAATAACAAAAAACAAAAACAGCTCTCCACACGAATGTAATATATACAGGGAATTAGATTTTCATAGTTATTCTTAAAACTCTTTTTTTCTAATTGACCTTCATCCCAATCTAACCAAAGCAAGGTTATTTCAATGATTCTTTTAATTTTGACTGCTATATTGGTTATATTTGAAAACAAAACAAAAATGAGATGAGGGGGAAATACTCATAGTTTAAGCTGCTAAGAGATGTCAGATGTATCAGCATATGCCCAATAGGGATGTTCACTCAGTCTTAATAATTTTTGCATCTCTGGCCCACTTATCTCCTGATACTTAAAGATAAATTATTAATACTCACAAGTGTTAGGGCCAATTACTTGGGAACAGCTTGTATTTAGTCCTGTTTTATTCATGATTTGAACCTGCTTCCCCAGGTATAATAAACTCTTGGTTCAGTAATAACCAACTGAATTTTTATGATTCTTGTGTCTGCTAGCATTTGGACTTTGTCATGTTAATATTTAAATGTCGGCAGTTCCCAGTGGATCTTATTTATGACTGACTCTTAGCAATTGATGCTGCCTAAAGTACAAATACTTTATTTTAATTCAGTCCCACCTCTGGCTGGTAATGATTACAGACCCAGGGCTAGGAAACCTCCTCATCTCCCCATCCTTACCCACCAAGAAAAGATGAGAATAACATGGGAGATGAGCCAGGCCACTAGAAAACAGCATGGAATGCTGATAATTATTGCCTACTGAGCTGAATGTAAATTCTTGAAATTAAAAATAAAAAAGAATTGAATCTACTGATGTACATTAATAATAAAAAAAATACAACCAAAATTCACATTCAACTTTTAGAAACATTTGCTGTGCAGACACCTTTTCTAAACCCCCCAAATCTGCAGGAAATAAATGTCAACTGTAAATATTTGCTTCTGTGGCTACTAATGGAAGAAATCTGTGAATAAGCATTGACACCTGAGTTGGGAAGTTGTGAGAAGATGGAAGATGGAATTTTATGATATCAACTATCTGATACCCTTGTCTATCATAATTAGGACAAATAAAAGGATCTCTCTCCTCCCCCTCTCCCCTCCCTTCCTTTTCCCAATCCTCCCCTCCTTTCTTTTCTTCTTTAATGGTTTACTTGTCATGGTTTGTGTGTTCCTGGGGAAAATGATTTTTTTTAAACTGAAGCGTAGTGTGCATTGCTCTGTCCACGTAATCATATTACATCACATTGTTACAGAAAAACCAGAGAAGAACCAAGCAACGCTCTGAGAGCTTGGAGTTACACTTTATTCACCGCGGTGGACTTGGGGGAATGAATCCAAATTCTAAGCAAAGCTACAAGCAGAACTTCCCGTTTTATGGAAGAGCCAGCCCTTTTGCTTTGTGTGCTTAATGGTTATCTTGCTGGTGACCTTGAAAACTACACAGTTCTATCCAATTAAAAAACGCACCTGGCATGGCATTGGGCGTATCTAGTCTCTGGCCTACAAGGTCAGACAGCTAAGTTTATCTTCCTCATTATTCAAGCAGGTTAAGCAGGACTAGAAAGCAAACTTATTTTTTTCAGAATAAAAGGCCATCTAAAGAATAGCAGAGAATTCCAAACAGTAGTTTTACAGAATAGGGGTTTGCCTTCACAACATTGACTTGTAGAAACACATTCATGGTACATTCGGTGCCTTTAAAATTACTATTGGCTCTCAGACAAATCTGTTTCCTCGCCACTCATAGTATGAAGCTTCACTTGTCTACAGAAAACAGCCTCTGTATTAATTTCTATGAGACTTTTACCATTTGCTTATTTTCTCCAAAATGCAAAATGTAATACATTCTGCCAAGGTATTCAGGGAATCACCGAGAACATTGGATTGATGGAAACTTGCATCTCACACTTGGGTTCAAATTCCGGCATATTGAAGTAAATGCCAGTATTTGTTGCTGGGTGAAAGGATATAAATTGGATAACTGTAAACATCAAAGAAAAATAGGCAGTAGGTTGGCAATGAAGAGACACTAGACTAATAAGTAGCTACATTTGTCAAGATTGATGTAGAAGTTGAAAAATGTCCCGCCTAACAGCAGTTATTCTATTCTCAGTATGAGAGTGTCACCATCTCTCTATGACACTACCTGACTTCAGAGTATACTACAGAGCAATGATAATGAAAACAGCATGGTACTGGCAGAAAAACAGACACATAGACCAATGGAACAGAATTGAGAGCCCAGAAATAAAACGACATGTGTATTGGCAAATAACTTTTGACAAAGGAGCCAAAAACATACAATAGAGAAAAGAAAGTCTCTTCAATAAATGGTGCTGGGAAAATTATAAACCCACATGCAAAAGTAAGAAATCAGACTGCAATTTGTTCCCATGTACAACAATTAATTCGAATTTGATAAAAGACCTAAATATAAGATCTGAAACAATAAATTACTTAAAAGAGGACATAGATCCTAAACTTATGGATCTTGGCCTTAGAGAAGATTTTATGAATTTGACACCTCATTAGAGGCAAAAAATAAATGAATGGGACTATATCAAACTAAAAAATTTTATTCAACATTGTACTAGAAGTGCTGGCTGGAGCAATCAGGCAAGAGCAATAAGTAAAATGCTTTCAATTTGGGAATGAAAAGGTATAAGTGCCATTTTTATTAGATGACACGATTCTTTACATCAAAAACCCTAAATACTCCACCAGAAAAACAACACCACACTACTAGAAACAATAAACTTCTAATAAAATCTTCCGCACAGCAAAATAAATCACCAACAAAACAAAAAAGGAAACCAACTTAGTGGGAGTAAACATTTGCAAACAACAGCTGACAAGGGTTTAATATATAAAATATATAAAGAACTCATACAACTCAACACCAAACAAACACACAATGGGCAGAAGACCTGGACAGACATTTCTCCCAAGAAGACTTAATAAGTTGCCAATAGATATATGAGTAGAGGCTCAACTTCACTAGTTGTTAGGGAAACGCAAATCAAAACTGCAATAAGCCCTGGTGAAAGGAGTTAAAGCAGAATTAGGTAGACAGGGTAAGGCGTGGAAGAAGGAGGAAGGAGCTAGCTGAAACCACAAGATGTTTTGCAGGAAAACAGGGTGTTTTGAAACAAGGATGTTTTTCTTGCAAGTGCAAAATAAAATGTTGCAAAAAGGCCAGGAACCAAAAAAGAGAGCGACACAGATAAACAGAGAGCAGGCCTTTAGAAGGTATAAGGGGAAGAGTAGAATGCTTGAGCAGCAATCCATTTGGGTCCCTGCCCGAGCAGGGGGAGCCTGCGTTTGCTGCTTGCAATAAACTCCTGCCCGGTTTGAACGCCTCTGGTCCATGGCTTCATTCTTTGATTCCGAGAGACAGGATCCCGGGAAGAATTCCTACTCGCCCGTTCTGGTATCACTGGCTGGGGAGCTCAGTTGGTTAGAGCATGGCCCAATACACCAAGTTTGTGGGGTTCAATCCCTGGTTAGGAAACCTACAGTAATCAACCAGTGAATGCACAGTAAGTGAAACAACAAATCGATCACTCTCTCTCTAAAAAAACAATATTAAAATGAGATAGCACCTCACACCTGTTGTAATCTTATTAACCAATGTCACTCCAATAAATTTAATTTAAAAATAAGATTAAATAAAAAAAACCTGTTATTTCACATGAGAGGAACAAAACCACTCCTACCTATTTCAAATCTCTAGCCAATTCTTATTTTAATTCAGCAGTTCACTAGGTATTCAATAATATGAAATATTAAACTTGGCATTTCTTTGGAACTATAAAAATTTAAAACTCACTCATAAACAGTTATTTATGGAAAGTGGCAGCTGAAATCTCAAAACTCTCCTGTTTCTCCTCCCTTACTCAGTCCCACTCTTTCTATCACACTCCCTCCTACCTGTTCTCAAAGCTTTAAGCTTACACTTTCTGCTTCCCCTTTACGCCACATTCTGGGATGATGGCAGTGCTAACCAGGCCACCCTGTGTCCAAAAGCAGCACTGTGTGTGACTCATGTCATAGCAGCCCCAGCACAGTGCCTGAAACATGGAATTTATTTAACCCGTGGGACTAAATGAGGCCACCATTCAACACAGAGAAAGAACCTAAACTATACTTGGGATTTTTTCAAAATCAGCCCCCAATCAAGAAACTATTTTTTGTAAAGAATCTGTATTGCACTGCAGAATAATGGTATCCAATGTCAAATTTAACATTAAATCCAACTATGTTTCTTGGTACGTTATTGTTGCACGTGTTTCCGTAGACACGTTTGAAGTATGATCTGACCTCACAGGTTGCAAAGCTGTCTAGTTTTCTGAGGGTTGTCTCTCCTTTTCCTTCTGGTGAGGAATCATCTGGAAGTTCTAATATTGATAGAGAGACCTATAACCTGATAGATAGAGCACCTGAATTAACCTGACAAATAATTGTATTATTTTAAGTCTTAGAACACATATACTTACGTGAATAGGGGGTTAAATTTTTCTTAAGTTTCCTTTCTAAGGCCTGTGAGAAGTGATTGAGGAGGTAACTCATCTGTGAACTCAGCAAACAGAACCGTTAAGCATGGTCAGACTGACCCACCAGGAGTCAAACATCATCTCATCATCATCTCATCGCCTGATGATTAAGGGCAACAGCTGACGTCTGCTCGTAGCTGCATTCCGTCCCCAGCCTCACCCTAGCCCCTTCCCCTGTAAAACCCTGTCCCCGCACCTCGCTGTAAGACAGGATTTGAATGCCTGTAAGCACCTGCCTTCTTGGTTGGCTGGCCTTCTCAATAAATGCCCTGTATGATCAACCCTGCCTTCGTATTGGACACAGCGACAGGCAGCCCAGCCCAACTCGGTGCTTCCTGGTAACAATATCCCTTAGGGCTTCGGCAAACTCAAGGATGAGTGTGTGTGAGTGGAAGCCTTTGCTGTCAAAGTTCAGGGATTAAACACAGAAAGAAAAGCTGCTCTACCGAGTCTCCCGTGACCATTCAGCTCTAGCCCCACTTCTACTTTCCTCTGTTTGGTTCTGGGTTATCTATGTACCTGGTTTATTTCCACTATAATAATCTGAGCACACATGTATCGAAGGCTTGCTATGTACCAGGCCTCTATGCAATGGAATTTTACACACATTATCTCACAAATTCTTAGGAATAAAGGATTTGACATTTTAAAATCTCCATTTATTGATAAAATACCTGAGCCAGAAATGTATGAAGTCACTAGAATAACTAGCACAAGTTCGCAGAGCTCCCAAATAGCACAGCTGGGGTTCAAACCCAGCACTGCTTGGCCATGAAGGTTATTTCCAGGTGCCTTTGCAGCTGGCCGGTCCTGAAGGTGATTCTGTAATTATTCCATTCCTCCAACTCTCCCCCTTCAGAGACCAACTCCTTGCTGCTGTCAGTCATGCCTACTTTGGAGTACGGAGTAATTCATTGTATGTTACAAGATGGCACTGAATATTTGTTTAAGTAAATGATCTGTCAAGTCACATGGAGGCGGAAAGAATTAGGATGAGTGAAGATCTGAGAAATATTTTAAATTGTTGGCATTGTCACAACCATTGTATAGCGAAGGGATGGAGTGGAAACATCCAGAGAAATGTTATGATTCATTTTCTTTGGCTGCTGAACACTCATTTCAAATGTTTATGCTGAAACGAAAAGCAAATTACCTGTACAGCAAGCATGCGGAGTGGAAGATGGGGGCTCCGTCTTGCTGTCATTCCGAAGCCACACACCCAGAACATGTGACAAACAGCACTGTGCCAGGAGCTGGCTGTCGGCAAGGGCTGCGTGCAGGGAAACTGCATCAATCAATAGAGCAGCCAGAGAGCAACGCGCTGGAGACAGCGCAATCATCAAACAGCAACGCAAATAAAAAGGCAATATCTCACCTCATTAGGACCAAGTGTGTTGTTTATTCTTTCCCCCACGTTAAAATGTTTAGAATCTCGCATAATGAGGCTCTCATTGACAGAGGTGAAAATTATGGAGCTGCTAAACCCAGCACGCAGACAGAGTGCTAACGTAGATTGGATGCTGCAGTGGCTGTGCTCAGAGCGAAGTCGGTGGCTGGATTCCACATGAGCACGTTGTGGTGACAGTCGTACAGGCCGCGGCTCTGTTTCGTGGTGACAGGGAAGTCGGATGTGGGCTGGAGTCAAAAGCTACAGGGCTCAGGCAGAGAAGGAAGCTGGGTCCATCTTGAAGTGAAGCCTCGTTTTCTAACAAAGATATTTTAATGAAGACACTATCCGCGCTGTCCATAGGTATCATTAAAGCTGATGATGAGCGGAGAAACCAAATGAAACTGGGAGTGTTTCCTTGTCTGAAATAGTCTCTGTACACATGTGTAATCATGATAAAGGCCTGTCTTTTGTCTTTGGAACTATATTCCATACCATGCAGACGTTTATTGTGTGTGGAGAAATGTGTTCTTGGTTATTAGTTTGTGGCTCTTTTTGTTTGTTAGTGTGTTAATCCTCACCAGAGGATATTTTTTCCATTGACTTTTTTTTTTGAGAGAGAGTGGAAGGAAGGGAGGGGGAGAGAGAGAAACATTTATGGGAGAGAGACACATCTATTGGTTGCCTCTCTGCTCCCACCCTCCCCACCCCCCCGGCATTCTGACCAGGGCTGGGGAGCAAACTTGCAGCCCAGGTACACGCTCTTAACCAGGAATCGAACCTTGGGTGCTCGGGCTGACACTCTAACCATTGACCAAATCCAGCCAGGGCTAGTTTGTGATTCTTGATGTGTGAATGTGGTAGAGCTAGGACATTTATTTTGATAAATTCGGGTGTCCTCTGTGTCTGATTTGGAATCCCAAAGCTGCTATTTCTTTCACAGAATTAGCTACCCAGATTTATGAATAGAATTAGCCTGATAATCCTCATTCAGTTAATGGGATGCAGATAAGAAAAGAGCACAAAATACCACCAAACAGGAAGCTCCATGGGTGCAGCAGCCTCACCTGGTTCTTCTTTATGTTCCGTGACTGGGTTCTGGGCCTGGCGCCTGACCAGCTCTCCACATACACACACCGCACATCAGAATGAAACAGTGGTATTTTCTAGTTTTTTTCATCTCCACTGACCACCATCACGAAAACAAGATGCTGATTGAGAATGAAAGACATTGGCTGAGAAGGACTCTAAAGATGATTGTGTGGCAGTGATAGGGGGGCTTATAACCTGATAGAGCACCTGAATTAATCTGAAAAATAATCATCTTATTTTAAGTCTTAGAGCACATATACTTATATGAGGAGGGGGTTAAGTTTCTTATATGTGACTAGGGGGTTAACTTTTTCTTAAGTTTCCTGTCCAAGGCCCCCCTAAGCCCTTTCCCCTGTATAACCCTGTCCCCCGCTCCTTGCTGTAAGACAGGATTTGAATGCTCGTCAGCGCCCTGTCTTCTTGGTTGGCTGGCCTTCTCAGTAAACGTCTTATCAGCGGTTCACAACCTGTGGGTCGCAACCCCTTTGGCAGTCGAACGACCCTTTCACAGGGGTCGCCTAAGACCATCTTGCATATCAGATATTTACATGACGATTCATAACAGTAGCAACATGACAGTTATGAAGTAGCAACGAAAATAATTTTATGGTTGGGTCACAACATGAGGAACCGTATTTAAAGGGCCAGAAGGTTGAGAACCCCTGCCTTCGATGATCAACCCTGCCTTCGTTCTTGGACACAGAGACAGGCAGCCCGAGCCCAACCAGGGGTTTCCCGGTAACAAAAGCAAGGTCGGGAAGCCTTTGTTCTGCTCAGCCAGCTTTTCCTCTGAGCCCTGCCCTGAGCCCGTCACCATTCACCGAGCTGAGCATATCCCACTAGCGAAGGAAAGCAGGAGCAGATCGCCTGTGTTTCCAACGGTACTTTTCAGGTTTCCACTGTATTTGCCTGAGGGCCACCCCTTTGCACACCATGGCTCTTCGGGGTCAGTGTGGACATTGTGGCGGCAGACTTTTATTATCCTTATGGACG